TAACACTGAAATGGTAACAAAAAACGCAAATTATTAGTAATAATATCCAATAAATGTCAGTCACCCAAAATTACGTCATTGGTGTTACTGCTACACAAAACGCTTTTATTTTTGAAATAATGTACTGTCTCTGAAGTGCTTCCTGTAACAAGAGATCATTTGAGGCAGTGCAGTGGACAAAGACATAAGGAAAGTCAGATACTTCTTACTTTGTTTGTTAAAGGTGTCATTTTATCTTCAAATGTTACGTGCGCCTTTCAAGTCTGTCATTAAAAATATAAGTGCATAGCCCTAGGGGTGAACATTTGAATGTGAAAATGTATTGTATTGAAGAATTAAACGATTTTGATATTGACTGAAGCCACATTTGGTCTGACACATTGCAGCCATTTTGTTAAAATGGTAGTGCTTTCTCCAAATTGTCACTGGTGTTACCGTCACTAGTGTTACTTTTCTTCCTGGTAACACGTAACACCAGTGACATTCCTATGTAAATAAGCTTTGTATAATGTATAAAAATAATAAAAATACTTTAGGCTCTACTTGTTGTGGATTCATCAAGTTAAGAGTTAGTTATTGCTATTTAACAGGTTTTAGATGTGTTTAGAAGGAATATATTTCAGCAGATTTGTATCACCCAGATTCCAGCTTTTCTGTAGAATGACTCTGTGACTGAATGGCTGAAATGTTAAGTTATGGCAGACAAGTAAAACATATGCAGAGAGGAAAAGTACTGATGCACAGTCACTTTCAATACCTTTGTGTCTCAAGATACACCAGCTCAACAAGGGAAGAACTGCAGCCAACAGCACAACAGATGAAACCAAAAGGACAGCGAGGAATTGAGAGGAGGACATTCCGGCACTTCCACTGTCTCCAATCAATGTGATGTTAGTTGGTTTTGGAGTTACTGTAGGTGTTGAAAGGAAATGAATAAACACTCATATCAATACAGGAAAAAGATGTTCTTACCACTATGGCATACATTATTAAATATACATCATAATTGTTTAAAATACACTAAATTGCTGTATGTTCCATTGAAATTCCTATAATTATATCTTTCGAAATAGTGTCTTTGATTTGAGCAAAAATGAAAATGCAATTGTATTCTATATGGCTCTTGTTTTCATAATGTCCATGATAAAACAAAAACTAGCATCATGTAAATTAATGTCAGTACTTTTTTCCAAATTTGAAATGTGATGAAGACAATATTGGTCTGATAGTCATTCGGCCAGGGTACTGAATAAAGTATCACAATATTGGATATTGTCATTACATGTGGTTCATGAATCTTACCCATGCTTCTGTTCGTCACTCGGACGTCCAGCTCTATCCTTCTACTTTTTTCCGTGATGCCGTCCACATACAAACTGGCCCAGTAAATTCCTTTATGACTTAGACTGAGATTTGTTATTTCAAAACAGACAGACGTATTTTTAGGGTAGACTGTAAGATTGCCTTCTTTTTTGCCACGTAAATACCCAGCAATCTTTTGTCCTTCGTCTGTTGAGTTTTTTTTTTTATAAATTCCAAAACCTGTTGTTACACTGAAGTTAAATGAAAATTCAAGGGTGATATTACCGCCGAGACTCCCCGTGATCTTCTCTTGGCTCAGCACTGTATGGGAGCAAAACCCTGAATGCGAATGAGCATGAGAAAAAAAGTATTATTTGACTTATAAAAGTAATGTGTAACTGCACTATGGTTTGTTAATCTGTGGCCTATATAGTGCACACGTCGAACATTATTTGGAGTGAAATTTAGCTGGCAAGATAGCCAATAACTTTAGCTACAATATAAGTATTCCTATCTGTAGTCAAAACATATCTATGTTCATGAACATCTTGGTATTTCAGTTTTTTATACCTTATAAATTCATTATTATTTTCGGTTTTTTTCAAAGCTGAAGTGCAAAGTGCAGTATTTCAATTTTGTTGGCAGTAATCCGCCTATTAGAAGCAACATATTAAGACATTACATATTTTATATCTGTTTATAATTTCTTGTAAAGTCTCAGTATGTGTTATAGTGTGTTGTGTTAACATGTCAGGATGTCATTTAATTTAATAATAAGCTTAAAGATCTCCTGACGCTGAATAAAACCTAAAGAATATTTCCTGTACATTACCACCCACACTAACCCGTGCACTAACAATGCATCCTGTCTGTCATTATAGCATACACATGAGCCAGAATCAGTTTTACTTAAAAAAAAGGGTTAAATAAATATGTATTACTTTATTTATTTGTATTATCTGATTTCACATGTCCCTTTTTATGGTGCTAAATGTGCAGTGGTAAAACAACAACAAACACCAAACTGGGAACGCATAATCTCAGGACAACATTTCCATAACTGTGTGTTATTATTAACAGCATTATCACGCGTGTTATAGGCAATACAATTCTAGCAGAAGAAATACAAATATTTCACAGAGAGCAATAACAATGAAACAAAAGCAGGTGAAAGCCAACAAAAGTGTAAAACATCAACCAGGAGAAGAAGACAGCTTACCGTTGAACACCATGTGAGCTGTGAGGATCAGAACTAACCCGAGAGGCTTTGACATGATGTTGTTAACCATGGCAGAGGAACTGTGTCGCTGGCAGGCCAGTGTTGTGGCTCTAGACTATTTCTGATTTATATGAGCTGACAGTTTGATAGTTCTACCAACGTTTGGTGCCTGAGCGGAGGAAACAGTTGACAGGAACTAGCACAAACACCATTTATCTACCAACAGCACCAGAAGCACCTCCTGTAACGGAAGTCTACGAAGAGGTTCATAGACATGTGGTGCAGGCGGTGAGGAGCTCAGCCGAGGAGGAAGTCGCACACTTAATGTGTGGGATTTCAGGAAGAGCAAATTGTTTCTTTTAAGTTTTGAGTGAATCATAGATCACCGTGTGTAAGGTAACTGTACATACTCATAGCCTGTATAAGCTTTTTTTTAATTAAATACTTTGAAGAAAGTCAACAGCAACTTCTCAATGTCCATGTTACCTAAGATCATAAGATTAAATTATTTAACAATCAGATTCCTTCTTTGAATTAGCATTGTTGTTACTTGCAATAGTTTTTTGTCACCCACTTCAATAATTAAACAATACGAACTAGAGAATGCAATTCCTGAAGAAATTGCTAGTGGGAATGCTTTATGCTGAAAAGCTGACGCTGAATTGAAGAAAGTGAAGAATTTAGATTGAAAACATACATATAACACTTGCTTGAATGTGTGATGACGAGGGAAGAAAAGAAAGTAAAAAGGCCTGGAAAAGCAGCAGAATATTTGAAAAACAAACTTTTGAACTAACTTGATTTGATGACATCCCACGCTTAGGTGCGTTGATGGCTGCATCGTTACCAAACCTGTGAAGTTTTGGGCCGTTTGGAGCATTTTCACTGAGATTATGAGAAAACCGTGTTTCATGGCGAGCATTGTGTTGCCATGTCAATGGCATTTGAAGAAATCTCAAAACTGTCCCGTAGATGTCTTCATGGCTGGACTGTTAGCACAGTTTTAGCACTTTTTGACAATTTTCATATGAGTTATAGCAATATCGTTTTTTATTGCAAGGGATGCGTTTCCATGGAAACAGCCTACGGTGAGATCTCAGATTTGGCGTAGAGTTGTTGAGGCATGGACCGGTGATATACAAGCAAAGTTTGGGGGCGATCGGACCGTATCCATTGGAGTTACAGCGACATCGTGTTTCATGTCGAGGGATGCGTTTCCATGGAAACGGCATATGATGCCACCCCATAATTGACGTAGAGCTGTTGAGGGCAGGACCATTAATCATTATCCGAAGTCTGCTGCTGTTTTATGGCGAGAGATGCGTTGCCATAGTAACACCACATTACGTAACATCATTTGATGTAGAGCTGTGTTAACCATTATCTGAAGTCTGCTGCTCTGAGAATGTCAGTTGGAGTTATGACATCATCGTGTTCCATAACACAGGTGTTTATATTTGATCTAACGACGTGTCAACGTGCAGTAATCAGTGAGAGGAGAGCATTTGCATTGTTCTGAATGAGAGATAAACCTCTTACATGTGAACGTTTTGTTGAAGAACCGTAACAGATTTCGGTGACATTTCAAAGCGTGAAGCATCTCAAGAACTCTGAGCATCTGAAGTGTGCTATTTGTGTATTTTCGGGTCAATAATGTGGCCTTTTTGGCAGATTAACTAAATGTGTGCGGCTGCTGCTGTGAGTAAATATCAGTCTGAAATTACAATGGGCTTTAATGGAGACATGTTGAAAGTTTTTGTCACTTCATGCCCTCAAGAGGCATTTTGTTTAATTATTTTTGGGTTTGGGAATTATGGCAGATTTAAAAAAAAATATGAAGGCAAATTTCAAGCTGTCCTATACTCTAGCTGTTACATCACGCACTCTAGTTAATGTTAAAATCTGAAGAAGGCCTCTTTACCAAGGTCTGAGCAATGTTTAATATCTCTAAAAGTAAGAATCAGATTTAAAAGTTGTGCAACACGAATAATGTCAGAAAGATGTGTAACATTTTAAAGTTGGAATGAGGTTTCTGAGTGAAAGTATGAATGAACAGTTAGCAGTTGAAGTCGCATGAAGATTTGTTGAAGTCTGAAGAATTTCTCCATTGACTTCCATGTTAAAAATGTGATGAATTATGGGATATATCTCGGGAATTATGAAAGTTATGAATGAGAAACGTTTTGATGTTTGAACAGAGTTTCTGCAAAGTGGAATGTGGGAGCAGAAGAGGTGCAAAATCCCGGCGGAATAATAATAAAGAATTTCGTGCGTCGAAGAACAGATAATTGGAATGCTGTATCAGCATTCCAACTAAATAAACTACATCTAACCTTCTTTTTTATTCATTACAAAAACAATCAGTACATAGAATTATGCAATGCTATCAAATATTACTATGCTAATGACTCCATCAATGAAAATCAACACACACATATATACACACACACACACACACACACACACACACACACACACACACACACACACACACACACACACACACACACACACACACACACGCAATGCGACACTTCAACCACACAAGAGGAAGTGGGGGTCTTTGAAGTCACAATTGTATGACTTTTAGACAAAACTGCATGTATCAGGGGGGGATTCCTTCATTCCTTTGTAGGATGTTTAGTTTCAGTGGTTGCTGTAGTTGCTGGTCAGCGTCTGTTCTCAATTTCCACAGTATCACAGGAAGACCCCGTGTTTTTAACCACTAAAGATGATGACTCAGCTCCGAGGGGCACACACTTAGTTGATGTCATGCTCCTCCTGTCAATCACAGCCATGTTGGAGGGCTTTGAAATGTTCACAGTGGCAGCCCGCAGCTTCCTTATAGAAACAAAAAGACAAATACACCGATTTGATTCATTTTTGTAAATCAGGACCCCCAATGTTTGCTAACTTTAACCATAAATATATTGTAAAAAAAAAATCTGAAATGACACAAAAGCAGATATTTTTCTTTATGCACTAATTTTACTGTTGTGCGCCATTAAAGACCTGAGATGCTCACCGGATACGTTGGAGTTCTGTCTTCGGTTTTGCACCTGAAATGTATGGTTTTAGGCTCAAACCATTTGCTTAGGAGAAGTTAAAGACAGCCTTCTAATTTTTGTTCAGTATGTTTGGATAAACAAAGTTTCTAAAAACCGGCCGTGATGTACCTTTGACTCTAATCTGTCAACAAAATAATACAAATAATTTGTACCTGTCTTTCTTTAATATTCATTATTCTTTAGCACACATTTAATAATAATAATAATAATATTAATAACTTGGACTTATATAGCACCTTTCATGATACACAAGGACGTTTTGCAATAGGAAGGGGGTCGTAGGGGGAACAACAAGAAAAACAGTGACACTGACTGGTGCCATACAAATTATTGTCTCATTGCATATTTAAACCTAAACCGTCAGAAAACTTCTAATACCAAAGATCATTGTCTGAATGTAAATAATCAACTGGGGAAGCAATATTTCTTAGTTGAAATGTTAACCTATTCACAGTGGACCCTAAAGTTAAAACAAGTTATTTATGAAACAACTCATTCAAAACATCAATCAGGATTTTAAACAGATAAACTGATGCTTTCCTGACAGTAATGAGGTCAAAGGGTGTTGTGCTTTGCCTTGGTGATTTATCATGAGCTAAAGTAGTTTTCTGTCTGCTACAGAAACTACATTGTAATTTAGGTTTGTACATTTCTGACGCTGTTGTTTGAGAAACAAATGTGATCATTCCATTCTTATCATTGTATTTCTACGCCACCTTGTGGGCTGAATGGTACGATGCAAACTCACAAAACACAGACACGTGATCGCACCTCCCTTTTCTCTCTCACACACTCAGACTCAAGCAGAAACATAGATGCTCACACTTATTGCCGCTCGCTTCCCCTGTGAGGTTATTTCGCATTTCCTGCATCACAGTTTATTGAAATGATTTCCCCTGTGCACCTCTTACATCATGTTTTGTGCTGCTTTTGTTATCAACCCACAATAAAACAGCCTTTTTGTGATATTTCTTGATTAATTACTGCGGTGAACGTGTTTCTGTTGTTGCTGCAAATTTAAAAAAATGTTTAATATTATTACATAAATTCTCTAGTTAAATACAATTTGCGTTTACATGCTTTTCATAAGCTTTTAATGATGTGGTATCAATTTGAAAACTAACTTTACATAACATTTGCAGCAAATACAGTAGGTTTCAATAGTTTTATAATAGAGTCAATGAAGAAGTGAGTGAAGGCCTCAGGGTGAAGTGCTTTCAGTGTCTCAGCTGAAGGCTGGAGCCATTATTATAGTCATCAGGAGAGGCATCTTCACTGCACTGCATGCGTTTATCTTACATTGCTGAGACTCATGCGAAGGTCCCTTTTACAACCGGGAAGCATTATTGTATTGCAGTAAAGGTTGACATTGACAAATCAACCCTTAAATGGATACTACTGGGCAGTGTAAACATCATGCTTTCAGAAGCTGGTGAGAATAAGAAAAGGCCTTGGGTAGTTTTAGATGACAAGCTTTCCCTGTTTTGTATAAGGTGTTTCCCTAGGCTGTTACTATCCTTTGATTAGCATAGAGCATTTGCATACTGTTAATATACTCTGGTTAGCATTAGTCCTGATGGGTGCATGAGTTATTTGTCCTTTCCATGCTGTCAATCCCTATATGCTCTCCTTTTTATCTCTGTTGCAGCCACATTAACTAATACAATGCCTCACCTCTTGTTGCTCAGGTTTTGTTGCGCTGTAATTCTTGCCACTCACTTGTTATTAAAGCCTTCAATATCTGTGTTTGAAATGGTTTATATCTATGAGCCTCACACTTACCCAGAAAGCCTTTTTCTGAATTTCTGTGGGAACCTTTCAAAAAGGATTTCCACATTATTAGGGCTAGAGCAACAACAGACTCGGAGTGGAGGACCTATTATAATCTCAATAATTAGTATTATTATGATTATAACAAAACCATTTTACTGTGGATTCATGGTGTATAAAATGGTAGGTGAACTTCTAAATCTGGCAGAGCTGGTGTTATTGCTTCCAGATTTGGCAACCCCCCGTAACTTTGACCAGGATGGTCATAATCTCACAAAAATCACACTGATGTTAGTTATGACCTTTTTGTTCGACCAAACAAAAGCACTTTAATCTGGGCCAATCAAGTGAAAATGTAAAGGGGTGCTTCTGAATCTGGCAGAGCTGGCAGATTTTGAACACCCACTTGTAACTTTGGCCATCATCCGAAAGATGTACATTATGTGGACCAACTTTCACT